GCTAGCTTAGTATAGTCCGCGGCGCGAAGCCCCGCGCACACTTTCAATTCACATGCGGAACAACTTACTGCCAGTGGATGCGGGAAACAAATTCAACTACCTTTTTCACTTTTCATTTACTTCTAAAAATTTCCTTCACCGCCTATCCTACTTCCTCACCCCCAAAACCCCATACAACCGCCGTTTCCTTTGGACAAAATTCTGGGCTCAGAAGTATCTGAAGTGCACTACTTAAACTACCTTTGCCACAGGTTTGTAAGTGAAATAGGAGGTAATGAGACGTAATTCGGCATTGTACGGCATTAATTTATATACCAAAATGCCCTTACCGTAAGCAATGCAGATGCTAGTTAAAGTTCCAAATGACCTTATGCTGATTTTCTATTGTCATCTTATGCAAAGGAGAGGGCTTTCCTCCTCAGTGCTTCTGACAAAAGTCCACATGGGACCACAATATCCTTTGTTATTTCCTCAAAGTTTAACTAGTTCCTATAGGGAGCTCAGGGTGAAGCCATCTCCTATGTTTATAAGGCATGTCATTCAACTTTTGACTCGAAGATTTAAAAATACCTTGGTTATGTTTCTGAAGCCAATATTAATTAGTTTCATCTTTTCTAATAATTAGGGCCATACTATAAAAGCCTTATATGCTGCTTCACATTTTTTTGATAAGTTTTGACATGTTCATAGATTAAACTAGATTACTTCACTCTACTGAACAGGGAACTCTTCACTGCGCAACCCCGATAAAGCGCTCCAAACTGAAGCAAAAGACCAAGTAGGGGACAGCAGGACTTCCTCCGAAAAGCGTCAAAAATTTAGAAGTCGGCGAGAGACGACGGGAGAAAAAAAGCGCAAGAAAATCAGTGCTTCATCCCAAGACACGAACGAGCATATTGAGGACATTCGCCGCTTCGCACGGGCCTTCAAAATGAAACGTCTCAGTCTGGGTCTGACGCAAACGCAAATCGGTAGAGCCTTGACTGCTGCAGATGGACCGGCCTATAGTCAGAGTGCGATTTGCAGGTATGTCAGTTGCCTATGAAAGTATGCAAAACTCGAAAAATAAATTGGCAAGCATAGGTTTGCTTTCGATAAATTATCTTCAGGCCTGTACATTTATATGGTAACTGAGTGCTACAGTTGCTTGTGAAAAACGTTGTCCAGCAACCTCTCTTCCTTAAGTTCATCACAGTTATAGCCCCGGTTCAGGATATAGGCGAGGCTAGTTTGCTAATAAACACAAGATTAGCTTGACGTAACAAGGAGTGAGTTGTGATGAATCCATGATACATGGACTAAACTCGGATAAATGGAAACGTGCTATTAAAAATGGAAAAGGAATATAAAAAAACGGGTCTGGTTTTTGGTTAAAGTGCAGCTAATCGTGAACTAATAGTTCTACCGGTTTCTAATGTTTCGAAAGGAATGAGCGAACCTCTCTCAGATTTTTAAAGAGGAAAACTAAAAATAAACTATTTCCGAGCTTACATAACTTTTATAATGCATCCGCATAGGAACTTCTTTTAAACACCACTAGCGCATGAGCATGTGTCGCTAAAAAAAGACAAGGGATTCCAGGATGTTCAGTTCTGGCTTACCAGTCCTTATGAGTCGGCCATACCACAATCTAGACCACGAGGACCTTCTATTAGAACACAGATCATTTGGTAATCGAACATTTTCATTCTGATTAGACATCTAAAAGTCAAATAAAAGTAGCTTTAAGCGAACTATTTAGATTTCACAACAGAATGCAAGCATGTCCGATTCGTTCTGGGCCTTTGACTTTGATTCCACGCTGATATTTACGTAACAAGAAACAGACAGTAAGCCATAACTATAACTTACACATATATTCTGTATTGTAATGCCATCCTGGTTCAGCCTTAAACCGCGTCTGATAATAAGGAACTGCTGTAGAGATTAGCAAAGCATAAGCCGATGGGTGCTATATGGAAGAAAAGCAAAATTCTAAGGTGCTCGAAGTTATTTGTTGACGCCTGGTAAATACTATCGACTGCGTGAGCTGATTGTGAAGTATTTATAAGAACTGATTATCCCAGTTAAGCCTGCGGCTTGCTATGCCACCT